TGCAATTCAACAAGAAAAAATTAAAATAAATACAATGTATCTAAGCACAAATTAGAGACATCACATAATAGATCCTTCTATCTGAAATAAATCAACAATGTTTTGCGGCAATTTTTAACATCAACTTGAGATCTTTCTCCTTAAAAAGTTGAATAATCTTAGCACATTCAATATTATCGATAAAAACTAGTGAATTTTATAAAGTGTTTTTTTTTTCCGAGATTTAGAATGGGCAAAAAAAATTCACGGATTTGGACAAAAAAAAAAGACCCCAGAATTACGTCAATTCATTTTTTCATAGTCAGTTGTGTTTAGTGTAATTTGTAACATATAAATGTAGGTAGGTGGGGGGATAGTACATCGATACACAAAGGAACAAAATAAAGGTTTTTGCACTGGAATTGAAAATTCTTATCTAAGAACGACAGGAAAAGAACATTGGCCATTCCCAATCTCTGTCACGATATTTGCAAGCAGTGGGTGGAAGAAATGGAACAGATTCTCAGTGACTTTACTGAGCGACTCAGGAATGTGAATGTTATATGTCAGCCCATTTCAGTAAATAAACATAGGAAGGACGTCTACATGAACGTCATCAAACCAATCTTCAGAAACGCCAACATAAATATTGACTATTCTGGACTCGGTTGGAAATTCAAGCAAATATCAACTTAAGGAGGCCGGAGTGTACAACCATCGAAACGTTGTGAATGTGACAATAATAATGAGGACAACATTCCAAACAATGTAAATATTATAATTAGTACATTTTTATAATAAAATTACCGACAATACATTTTTATAGTAAAATGACATTCAGTACAACACTTAAAAAGTATAAAAATACATTTTTGTAATAAAGTTACTAGTAATGCATTTTTATAAAAAAAACGACTAACATTTTTGTAGCGAAATTACTAACAATACATTTAAAAAAAATTACCAACAATTATCATCTAGAAATTATATATTTGAAAAAATATAAGTTTACTATGGAAGTACAAAATTATGTACAAAATATCTGTAGTTGAATTCATAAAATTGTGTCCAAAATATTTCGATTTCGGCATTAAATAACCCATAGTGGTTGATATCCCGCTAAACAAAACCAACCAACCAACCAACCAACCTGATTGGTTGATAAATCCATCGCGTGTCCCAAAAGTAACAATAGAGAAATTCATCAACCGTTCAGCAAATCCTTATTACTGACCAATCCACAGATTTTTTTTTTATTTGAATTTATTGATTTTCTAAGGCTTATCAAACCTTTGTAGGTTATTTAAAGCAAAAAAATATTTTTGGATTGCAAGAATGTTTGGGAGATAAGAACCATTTACTGATACAAGTCTTAGTAATTAACCCATAGCTGGGGGAGAAGCGGATTCCTACTTTTTCCAAAGATATTTGCGCGTAAGTGAATATGACGAAAGCAGACTGGAATTTCAACTGGGCTCTCCGACTACCAATTCCAATCCATTATCCAATACACCCCACACACAAACAAGTTTACAGCACCTGGTATTCCCAAGCAGTCACTCTAGGTACTGACCAAGCTCGACATTGCTTAACTTCGGTGATCGTACGGGAACCGGTGTTTCATCGTGATATGTCCATAAACCCAACCCACACACAGTAGACGTTTTGTGCAGCCTTTATACAACTTAACTTAAAATTTATCTCATCAACCCTAAGCAAGCAATGAGTTATTTTCGAACTCTGAAAGTATCATTCATTTTTGCATATCATTTTTTTTTTAGATACGTAATTTGTAAGAATAACAAATACATTTGTCAACTTTATATATTGAATACTTGTATAAGGTTGCCAAGATACCTTATTTATGACTGCAGGTCCGTGGTTCAATCACTAACTTCTTTGTATGTCTAGTGATCGTAATAATGACTCGAAAGGGGTCTTTTGCGACCGTTGTCATTATTAAAGTGGCCTGAGTCAATTGAGTCGTCACATTTGTTTCCATGGTCACCAATACACTGGACCATCTCCGACTCTTGTTGAAAATCAAATTAGATATTATTTAATCGGGAGAGATGCTTCTTCTCGTGGTGTTAAACAGCACAATGCATATAGTCTAAACTGTCTGCTTTTATTGCACTTAGCAAAGGTATTATTATCCGACTATTTGAGAGAGAGAGAGAGAGAGAGAGAGAGAGAGAGACTTTAATTTTTTTTTATTTTGCTTGCTCATTGTAAACAGTTCCAGGCAAAAAAAATCTCATAGAATGATTTCAGGGAAAAACTGCTTTTATAAGGAAACATCTCGTATTTGTTAATAATTATGTCCAACAATTCACGGTCAAAAGGCATTCCAACCCGGTACTTCTACTTTGATTACCGAATCTGTTTTCTTTAAAAAATTTTTTTTCATCTTTCCTTTTATTTTTGTGATAAACGATGCCAATTCCCGAATCGGTACATACAACCTTAAAGCAGTATAAATACTTTCGTACGCTTACCCAGTCGAAAGACCGTTTCATTCTGATGCCGGAGATAATTGTTTTCAACTCTCTACTATTTATTTGCTTATATTTCTTCAGGTGAAGAGTTTCACATGTTTGTGAATCTAAATAATTATTCTTTTTGACAGACTGGGTTTCACTGACTAGACTGTAAGGGTCACATGGCTTGTTAAGCACGATGCATAAGTGACTAATCGAAACACTGTTTTTGCGAAGATTTCAATATACGAGGGGCCATTTCAGAAGTTTTGAGACTTTTTTTCAAGAGAGGCAATTATAAATGTCCTCTATATTTCTATACTGATGTTCGCCCAAACCAAGGCCCAATAGCCACTCAAGGTAGAGAAGTACTGTGTGGTGTTGTATGAACGTAAGAAAAGACAGGAAGTCTGTTCCACAAAAAGCAGTAGTTCTTAGGATGATGCTACCCGAATGGAACTTCCTTTTTACTAATGGAATACAAAGGGAATAGGAATAATTCATGCTTGTGTAGGTGACATGGCGGGTCCCAGTTGTAAAGGTCAAGGGTGGTGAGACTAAGAAATGTAACTTGTCAGAACACCTGCCATGGAAATTACGATAGAACAGAGAGAGGTACGAAACTTTTTGTATGTGAGTGTTTCACTGGGCTTAGGGTGAGAAGATAAATTATATGAGACTGGCCGCTGAAAAGTTGAAGGCATACAAAGACGACACGAGGCAGGAAACTTAACAACTGTTCTATTCAAACTACTACTGAAACCGTTTTGTTCCCAGCATTCCCTAGTGGTATCGGAAGTGCTTACAATCATCATCATAATATTATTGAATATTTTTATAAACATTCCTCTTCCTTCGGTAGTTTATTTTCTTTATTAATTTATTACTAACTTTAAGCAAATTAAAAATAAATAATTACAAATCAATGTTTGTTTTGGTTACAGTCCAAGGGCGATAACTCACTCACTTTGTGAAATCAAACAAATATTTTGGAGTTTGCATTGTTTGTCCTCTTCGAGTTTTCCCAGTACTTTCTCTTGTATTATTGTTTGTCTGAAGATCTTTGTAATGATCACTAATTGATTTCTTTCTCAAAAGTCTATTTTCAAAAGCTGAAAATGAAATAGGTTTCCTATTTCTTTGGAAATCCCCTTGATTAGTTTTTCACAATATTGACAAATGATCGTAAACTGTTGTCAATGTCTGCTGACTTGACCATTTCTTCAGTGTTTTTTTTTTTACAGTAAGATTCCCCCTTTACAAGGCCTGGTGGACACTCGAGGTAGAGGGTTACGTTAGGAGGCCATTTGAGCGTATAGGAGTGGAAGATAACGGTTAACCTTAGCCTTGATCAGGTTAAGATTGTAGTGATCGGAGAAACATCCTGTTGCGAGTCGGTTCTACAGGGCAGTGGTTCGTAAGAAGAGGCTGCTCGAGTGGAACTTACTTCCCAGCAATGGAATACGGAGGGAATGTGGGTGGTTCACTACTATGTAAGTGACATGTAAGAATTAGAATAGAACTTACGGTTGCATCTAGCTATTTCAATAGTAAAACAATCAGATCTAGTTAGTAATTTATTAGTACATCTAGCAATTTCAACAGTAAAATGATAGGTCCTAGCATCCAGTCTATTACTGCACTTAAATTCGTGATGTCTCTGTATCAAAGAGAAAAGCTCATCAGAACAATTATCATGAAAATATTTATAGTAAAGGCACAGGGAAGCGACCTTACGGCGTTAGGAAAGTGACTAAAGCCGAGATGTCAGGTCTAAATTGATGACATTGCAGATTCTTTGGATTTTGTCAAGAATATCTACACACATAGCAGAAGTACAGGTTAGATTTGGCATCAATACTCGATGTATGGATGAATGGTAGACATATATCTGTGTTTCCGAGCAGTAGACCTAGCAATTGTTCCACATTAAATCAGTGGAAAACGTTAGACCGAGAAGGTGCAATGTTTTACACTCGTGGAGGTTAGCATCGGCCATGCTGATAGAAGACAAAAAAAAAAGGTTAAAAGAGAGCAGTTTAGTTTTGGCAGCATTAAAATTGCTGAAGTGGAAATGAACCAAGATAACAAACAACAAACCGAACTTAATTCAACGACTGTTGGCTCACTGACGTTTAAAGATTTACAACAACTTCTAGGACACTTGAAAGCTTGATAATGGAAACACCAGAACTTTCGACATTAATTCCGGGCATTTTATACAAAAGTTCTTCGACATAATCAGTATCAATTCTGTAGAGTCGAATTTCTCTATCACCCACACCAGATGAATTTACAAATAGCAAAGCATTTTTGTATCTGTTACGTTTGTGTCGCTAAACTCAAATCCATTTCGTTTACAAATTCATGAACCCAAAAGAAATACTAAACTGGTTATATCAGAAAACGACAAAATTTGCTTTAACTTACTGCTGATTGTTACAATGCGAAACACTAGCGACATATTCCTTTAGACCGTGCTACACCCGACACACTAGAAATGTCAACAGTATAACTGATTCAATTTTCACAGTGCTTCAGACACGTACACTTTCTCGTAGAGATGTTCACTCATATCGCAGCTTCATCCAAATCTTCTTTCGTTACACTACAAAAGATCTGCAACATTCAAACTTTTCTATCTATTGGCAGCACATATGCTTCGGGGAGTCTGGAGGTGACTATTGTGACTTATGAACTTATCTGTCAACGACAGATAGATGGCGTTGTGAAAGCAGTATATAACAAAAAGGGTTCCGAGTCTCATTTCCGTTCTTTTTTTTCTAGTAGAGAGCAGACATACTCGCTTCAGAATGATGCCCTTGCTACCGGTGACTTTAAAGGGAGTGCCATCAATCACCTACTCACTTTTGCCGACATGCTAACGCTAAGAACACCAAATGAAGGTTTAACAAACTCCTTTTTCTCTATGGTAGTAATTTTCTAGCTTAGATGTGGTGCAGGGCCGAAAGTATGGGGCGCCCAGTGAGGATCTAACACACTATTCAGTCGTAAGTGATCTAGCAGGACAAACTTGCTAACCATTATGCCACATCGAATTGCCCCTCTTTTCCTTCTATGCATGTAAACTCATCTTCTTCACACTTTTACATTGTTCGGACTGTTGTCCTCATCTTTGTTGCCATATTCACAAACGCTTCTTCAGGTGATTGAAATTTCGAACTGAACCCTTTATTTCGTCCACTGGGTAGATTGTTCTAGTTCCACGTGTCACACCTCTTCCGGATGTCTCAGTTATCTCCCATTAATTCAATTTTCCGAGTTTTTGTTCACCTCTGTAGTAGCCAGGTATTGAACTGGATCCAACCAATGCTTATATCCACTGGGCCATGTGTCTTTGAGGACATCAGTGTATGAAATTTTGGAACTATATATTATATAGACAAACTCAATCTTATTCATTCGTACACATACAAACCTTTACTTTGAATTCCAGCATTTTAAAAGGATAGTTATTTCTTTCAAAACCTTTCTTATATTTAAACAAATTTTAAATTACATCAATTCACTTTACTGGTTTTGTATCTAAATTGTTTGAACCATACTTCAAGTATAGTTTTAATATACTGTTAATAAATGAATTAATTTTTTTTTTTTTAGGTTGTTATATCTGTCTGAGTTTCTGGGATGATGAGTTATTATTATTTACTTATATATTCATGTGAATTCAATCTCAGCACCGGGTAGGGTGTATTTGGACTTAGTGGAAACGGAGTGAGCAATAAATGAGCAGTACTAAAAGTAAGAACTAGACGAGATGTTCCTAGACATGGTCAGAGGAACGAAAACAATCTACCACCGTAGATTTGAGGGGGTCACTCAGCAGAAATAGCCTCGTGTTCACGGGAATTGAAAACATATGTCGCAGAAAATATAACATACAGAGATAATAGTGAAAGCATAGTAAATTGTACATTCATATCATACAATTTACTTATTTTTTGTGTACTGTTGTGTTTATGTTTGATTACAAATGTTCATGATGCATGAAATGAAAGGAAGAAGTTACTTCGTATTATTACATGCCATGTCACACACACACACGCACAGAGAGAGAGAGAGAGAGAGAGAGAGAGAGAGAGAGAGGTTGGATACGTGTTGACTATCCGAGGGTTCATGGTGAAGTGACTGAATTCAACATCATTTGGCTGGATGCACGTATTTCCGTCAGGAACATTTTTTGTTGCATACTGGGAGAATTTTATTATTTTTATTTAATTTATTTTATACAACGTTTAAATCTTACTGTTTTAGTTTATTTTATTTATAATATTCATTATTATTATTTTATATTTTATTTCTATCGATAATAATGATGCCCCTACAGATTAAACAGAATTGAGTTCAAAATTCCCAGAAGGTTACTCGAATCGATAAGCGTCTGATGAAGGATGGCACAACGTCGAAATATTGTGATAACAAAAAAAGATTAACAACAGTGTGCATGTAAATAAAAACTGTTAGATTTTCTACCGAATTCTCTTAAAGGCCCTCCTCCTCCCGGTCAATCTAAACAGGCTCCCTACAATCTACAACCCGTTTACAAAGGTCCCTATTAAAATTTTAAACGTTACGGACAGATGACTATTGATTCAATCAGGGAGAACCCTCCACGTTGGTCGTTTTCAGGCTAGGCTCAGGCGGTGCCGTGTTATCACCGCAATAGCTGCATCCATAGCTATAGAGCCCAGTCTACTCCATTGTGCTAGATGGCCGTTAACTCTACTTAGAAGGTTCTTCTGCAATTTGGTACATCTTCTTTTTTCTCGAGCAGGGTATCTAGCTACTCTCCTCACTAGGAAAGCTAGTAGGAGAGTCAGTTTAGTAGTGTATAGCCTAACCACGTGGCAGGTAGCACAAGGTATCAGTAGCACAAAATAATCTAAGCCTGTATTGATGCCAACGGGCATCACTTACAACATTGTTTATAATTTCATTTATTTTCTCCTCCTGTATTCTATATTGAAATATGTGTTAATAGAATTATAAGTGCATAGTGACGTTCCGAACACCCTGTACTAGGCATGCACCAGTCTCCTGAGTCTATAAGTCTGACTAGACACTTTTGTGTTTCTTCAAAACCCACCGTGGCTTATACTACAACTATGTTCAAGAGACTCTAGTTACTAGGAGATAACGCATAAGCTGGCGTGATCAGTGGCTTACTAGGCTTGTACGCTTAAACACTTGGTTTTGGCTAGCACAGTTTCTCAAACAGCTTCCTCAACTAAATTTCGCTTACAATACTTTAGTCGACCAGTTGTATGATTTTCATGTACTCCCCAAAGTCAGTTTTAATTTATATGTGGTAGTTGTTCGGAGATTATATATACATTTCTATACATCAGAACAAATGAATGACAAAATGTAAACATTCTATTTAACGTGTTTCGTCCTTTAAAAAGACTTCATCGGAGTAATGTTCGTATTGACTGAATCGTGTTGGTCTCAACGAGAACAACCCTTCTTTGAAACTCATAGACTGGAGTTACAGAATCACAAAGAATCGTACAAGATAATAGAAACCACATAACTTGAGGACTTTCAACAGTGGCAACCAATAAAATGGATAGCACATGTAACTCAAAGTGAAAATAATGACATAATCAAGACGCTGACGTTCTACACTACCTCAAACAAAAGGCAAGGAAGGAAACTTCGTTTTCCTATTTTCTATTTCCACCTCCCCTTTCCTCTCTCTCTCTCTCTCTCCTTTTTCTTGGGAGTTTTTGTCGTGCTTGCTTAGATTTTTGACCGTTGCACAATATCAAAAACTGTAGCGGACACTTCCGCTTAGATTTTTTCGGATCAGGTTTTTACCTTAACGCTTTAACGTCCCATTCACCTCCCAAACTGCTATGAAGAAATTATTGTCTTACTCTGTCACTTTCTTTCCTTTCCTTCTCTTTTCTTCCTTTTCTTTACCCTTCTCCGTTTCTTCTTAAAGTGTTTCTTCCTATGTTTTTTTTTTCCCCAAAACAATTTGAATAATGAGGAAAAGGAAGTGACATTCCATAAGCGGCTTGCTTCTAAATAGAATTGCTCATAAGCATTTTTGGTTATCACCAGTCGAGATGCATGCGCATCGAAACAAAAATGCATCTTTGTAGTGAGTAAGTTTTTTTGTCTGTATGTAAACATTATAATAAATAATTATTTCTCTATTATGGAAGGCATCTAATTGTTTAATGTGCCATCTTTAAAGCGTCCAAGTTTCAGAGCCATACAAAAGAGTTGACAAAACAACAGCTTTGTACACTTGGGTTTTAGTGCAAAGCTTTATTCCCTTTTCGTCCCTCAACCTATGACGCAGCGAATCAAAGTAAGCGCCGCCGGCTTTTGTAATGCGATTAACAATCTCGTTATTAAGTGATGCACTTGAATTTACCATGATGTATTTGAAAGATTCCACATACTTGAGATTTTTTCCATCAACTTGTAAAGGGACCTCAGGTAACTTGCGAACAGGGGGGTCTCTGATTTACACCTCTAATTTGCATCGGTGTCGAGCAAGGTTGATGAATAACTTCAGTTTTCTTGATGCGGATGGTAAGTCCAAATGTCCTGCATGCCGAAAACCGGTTGAGTAAATCTTGAGTTTCCTCTAAAGAGTTTGTTACAAGGGCAGCGTCGTCCGCAAAAAGTACATCGCGTATAATATTGGTACGTAGAAGTGTGTTGGACTTAAACTGCTGATGGTTAAACAGTCCTCGATTAGTTCTAAAATCTCTATCTATAAAAGGCAGGATGTGTGTGTGTAACGAATGCACGGCCGCAATTTTCGACGGATTTGCATCAAAATTTACATGCACATGCTCCAAGTTAGCGGGAAGGTCAAAACCGACATTGCATTTCTCAACTCCCATCGATAGTGGAATTAATCGATTTTTTTCATGCTTCTACGGCAGTTTTCATGTAGTTTGCGGCCATTTTCTACTGGCCAGAATGAGAGCCAATAACTGGCTGCCACGAATAAGCAGGAAGATTCTATTGGCCAGCCTGAGAGCCAACAGCTGACTGACACGAATGTTAACTAGCATGCTAGCATGCAAAAAAATCGATGGCTGCATTCGTCACAAGTGGGAAAAATTTAAATCTGCATGGCACTTTACTCCAATTGGTTCATTCGCTTCCTTAAGATGATTCTGATTCCGCAGAACTGGGTTGGGTGTGAAAAAGTATTTGTTGTTAACATTCTTTTTTCATTCGTTTTTTCCAGTTACGAGTCCTTTTTTTTAAAGCTGATCGTTTTGTGTTTATTTTGTTTAATCCTTTTTTTTGTAACAGATTTAATGTTTAGTATAGAGCTTAGAAAAAATTCGCAGTGTGAGATAGGCAAGAAGTAAGGCATGTAGCAACATCAGCACGGCAAAGGGCACTCCTTTAAAGGCAAGGAAGGGCAAAAATATTTTAAGTCAAGTGATAGCGATTGCTTTATGAGTCGTACGATTTTTGAATCAAGCACGGGCAACGCCGGGCCATGCTGCTAGTGAAATATAACGCCAGTTTTTGTATCCCGAAAAGCATACCTCAGCATCATCGAGAAGAACAATGCAAACAAAACAGGCGACTTTAAACGCAGTCTTGTGCCATATTTCGTTTGAATGGATGCGTGGATATTTACAGTGTAAGGTATTTTTCAGCGCCCAACGTCACAACCGAATGTGACTCAAGGTCGAGGTTTTGTAGTGGGGGGTTAATACCACCAACAAGATAGGTTTATCAATCTATAAAGAGTTGATGGAAATGCGATTAATCCGTTACTTTTTTTTTTTTTTTAGATTTCCACAAATGTCACAAAAAGCAAGCAAACAATAAGAGAAATGACAATATGAATCAATACTTTGGTTCAACAATAAATATTTTTCTAATTTTTATATATAACCAAAAGAAGGTAAAAAATTGTAAGTTGTTTAAATTGCTTCAAAGTTTTTTCTTGTGTAGATTGAAGTGTTTATGAAGATATTTTATGAAAGATTAATAGTTGAGAAATTGTGTATGTAAAAATGGGCAAATTTGATAAGGTATTTTTGTGTTTGTAGGAAAATTAAAGTTGGTTTTTGGTGTTGTAGCTTTAAGTCGTCGAGAGTGAGGCTAAGATCTGCGTCGTCTGTGCGTGCAATTTATCCATCCACAATTTTCGAAGGACCATGTCCGGTATGGCATTAACACTTAATAGTGATTTCATTTTCCAGAGTAGCTGAGAGTGTTTATAATGACCTACCTGTAAATTATTGAATAAATCGTGTAGCCGTCGTTCTTCAGATTCGCCTGTGCGGTGTATGATTGCGTTTTTTAATGTATCGTTTGGTTTATCCATCGTCATCTCATTAAGCAGGTCGGCTACATCCAGTGAAACATCGACAGGAAGCTTCTCGACTACATAGGCGTATTGAGCGTTTGCGAGGTGATTGTCTTGGCATTGAAGATTGCATTTAACTGAGAAAACCAAACCTGTACATTGGTTGTACGTAGGTAGATTTATAGTGATGGCTGCCTCGATATGATCGCTGTTAGAAGTTTCCATCTGAATTTGTGCAAATTATGAATATTATTCTCCGATTTATTGTTGCTTAATACATCCATTTACTCATTTGTGTGTTCGGGTCTGCACCACCGGCAAGTCGGGGTCACCAATTTGTAGTGGCGTTAATACCACCAACACGATGGATTTACCAATCTGTAAAGAGTTGATGGAAATGCGATAAACCCGCTACATTTTAATTTCACAAATGTAACATAAAGCAAGCAAACAATAAGAGAAATAACGATATGAAACAATACTTTGGTTCAACAATAAATATTTTTTTATATATAACCAATGTATGTTGAGAGTTGTTTAAATTGCTTCAAAGCTTTTCTTGTGAGGATTGAGGTGTTTATGAAGATATTTTATGAAATAGTAAGAATTGAGAGATTGTGTGTATAAAAATGGGTAAGTTTCATAAGTTATTTTTGCGTTTGCAGGAAAATTAAACAGTTTGTTTTTGGTGTTGAATTTTGTAATATTGTACTCATGGCGTTTCATAGCGTTTTTCCCTAAGGAACAAACGCGATTTCTCCACAGCTACATCTTGTATGTGAGAGAAGGCAAGAGAGAAAGAATCAAGACGTGTCTAAGTATTTATAATGTTGTATGTCACGTGGCCGGCTCGAAAGCCCATAACCAGATTTTGGCGGTAAATTAACTCTGAACACTTGTGTGTAGGCGTTGTAATGTTTTTCAAATACATTTGCCAATCAGAAGTCAGAGAATTATTCAAGGCTTGTGTGATTCACTTTGGTGTTTAGTTTATACAAAAACTGACGTCGAAAGAAAGTGGTAGCAGAATGCTAAAGAGTGCTAAGTTATTATAACTGATAAATTATTAATGTCAGTCCAGCCGACATTTTTCACTTTTGATCATGTACCACATTGTTTTTATAATTTAATAATTTCTCATTCAATGAATATATTTTCCGGTATTAAAATGTTTTATTTATTTAACTGCCCTTTTTGACGTTGGTAGATCTGACACGTGTAAATAATAAGTAGAGCAGTGCCGACATAGTAACGGTACAGGCAATATTCAGGGTTGCCAAATTAAAATTTTTATTTAAAGCCAAATAACACGTATATATATATAAAAGAGAAAAAAGCCAAATTAAAATTTTTATATAAAGCCAGAAAAGAAGCCAAATAAACATGTAGGATTTTGGGCGTTTTAGAATGAAACCACTTTCTTTATTATTTCTTTCAATAGTGATTTTTTTAAGTGTAAATTGTAAATTTAATTTGACAATAGTCAAACTAGTCTGATTCGCTGGAAAATCTTTATTTTTTATTTTCATTTTTTTTTTAATTTTTAATGATACTTTAAAAACGGATTTAGATAAATTTCATTAAATTTAAATTTTTTTCATTTAGAATAGTTTTTTTTAATACCTAACTCATTAAATATAATGATATAATAATAACCGTTTTATTAATTATTCATTTTAGTATATGTGCCCGTAAGACATTTTTTTTCATTTAAATAACTTAAATATTAAGTTATGAAAGAAACATCGGAGAAGAGGTTCGAGCGTGTGAAAGACCAGGAAAAAAGCGGTCATTAGTTTATTTATTTATTTATATGATAGAGAATTATGAAAGAAAAAATTCTTTCTTTCAATTGGCAGCTGACATTGGCATAGGTTTGAAAATATCCTTATTCCTTTTTTTTACAATACATTTCTGGGATCCATTCCCCATTCTGGAGTAAGAATATGATGATAAAAAGGGCCGAAAACTCCCATAATTTAGGCGCATCACTGAGGATAAAGAAGAAATGATTGTAACATAGCAGTTGTAATATACTGTTTTTTACCATGTAAAATAAAACCCAAGAATAGCTGCATCTATCGCAAGGAAAGTTGGTTCACTGTGTCGTGCCAGAAGTTATTTCTTATCAGAGTCCATCTTACACATCTACCGTTCGTCCTTGCATTGAATACTGTTACCATATCTGGTCTGGTGCCCTTGCCGTTCATCTTGCGGTTCTCGACAAGATCCAAAGAAGGATCTGTAATATAATCGGTCCTGAATTGGTTTCTAGACTTCAGAAACTCTCAGACGTGATGTGGCTTTCCTGTATCTTTTCAACAAATATTTTCATGGCTACTGCTATGACGAGCTTTTTTTCCTGGTGCCCGACTACATGAATTTTTAAGTGTGCTGCTAGATTGGCAGATAGGTCCCACCAATTTACTGTTGAAATAGTTAATAACCGCCACTTCTACTCCAACAGTTTCTTTCCTTGCACTTCCCGACATTGGAACTTCTTCCCTCTCACTTGATTCCCTGATAACTACAGTCTTAAAAAATTTAATCACCATCTTCTGTTGCCTTGATTCTTTTTTGTTTTCTCTTCCTCAATTCCCCTCTACTACAGTCTGTACACATATTCGTTTTTTCTCACTATCCCTATCCCACTCTGCGTGCTAGTGACACTCCTGCCTTGCGTGGGGTGAAATGCTTAAAAAAAAAAAAAAGAAAAGAAAAATGAAAGCAATTTCCTGGTTCCCAATCTACATGAAAAAGGCAGATTTCATAAATTTGACGTTAAAAGAATCAAACCGGAAAGACAAAAACGAAAAAGAAAGAGAATAGAAATGCGAATTATTATTTCAAGGGCAGGTAACTCTTTACGAATTTCCTTTTTCTATATCAACAAACAAGAGAAGAGTTAGCGAAAGGAAGATGTACGTAAATTATGAATACTTTCAAATCATTATTGCTCAAATGAAGACAATATAATATGTAAGTCTTTCTTTGTTTATCGTTAAAATAATTTTTTTCATGACATTTTTGTGGAGGTTGAAAAAATTGAACTGATGGTCTTCTTGTAAGAAAATCAGTCACTTTCATTTCTGATAAATGATTTTTAGATTTATTTATTTATCATACCGAATTTTTTTCTTATTTTCAGCAAGGCATTTTTAAAAATAAATTTCAGTAAAAAAACAAAAAACCCAAAAAACTGAGTATTATTCACCAGGCAGTAAAAATTGTTAGTATCACTATGAAATTTACATTATTATTTTTTTGGAAATAAAAGAAAGACTGATTCGCATTAAAAATAATTTTAATGATTATTGTTAAAAAAAAAAAAATGTTCGGTTATATTGTTATTTTCAGTTTGTTTTTAATTTTTTTTTCCTAATCCACATTAAAAAAAAAAGATAAAGAAAGGCTAACGATCCATTTTTAATGTATTTTTTATTTACTTTTAGTTTTAATTATGGAAATTTCAAATTCAGTCAGAATTTTAAATTTGTTGAATTTAAAATTGTTTTCATTTAAAATTCCATTTCATTTAAAAATTATTTTTGTAAATATTTGAATTTGAAATTCATAAATCTCAATTCACGCCCAAAATAAACTAAAAACTATAGAATATATTTTGTTTAGTTTTATAGTTTCATTCCCGCATGAACATCATCAGTATCACCTTTATGAGGAACATTTTACTTTTTTTAGTTTTGAAATCCTTTTGAAGAAAGAAACGTGTTACAAAGTTATTTTTTTATTTTTACTTCATTTTTCTGAATTATTCAAACAAACTGAATATAATTTTCTTTCATTTTTAGTTTCGCGGTAGTTATTTTCATTTTTTTTTTTAAAATGAATTACTTTTTAGTTTCGTTTAAGATCCTTTTTCTTTGTATCAATTCTATCAGTTGTCTTTTAGCATAATTTTATAATTTATTTTAAACATTCATTAACAAAAAAAAAAAAAAATAGGTAAAAAAAGAAAAAAAAAGCGTACTATGGTCCGAAAGTCTTGTCACACCTTACCTCTCGTCTCTAAATTGTAGGAGCTAGTGCTAGTCGTGTCATCCATCTGGTATAGAAAATTATATTATGTAGTGGTAACAAGGCTTTTGGACCACCCAGTCTATATTCGAGGAGGGGGGAGAACAGAATTTTATTCTTACTGATTTTTCCTTCTGAGAAAAAACGAAAAAAAACAAACTCCTCCTCCCGTGGCGGGGGGGGGGGCTTTTTGGGGTCGATGAGGTAATAATTCTTGTAGGTACCTCCAAAAATTCCCTAAAAAAGAGAAATTATCCACAATGTATAAAGAAAGGCGTTGGTTAGAGTGTGAGTTCAATACCTGGTTAAGACAGTGGAGAACTTTCAGAGGGAAAATTAACAGGAGATAACTGATATAGCTGACATCCATTAAACTTGGCACATTGAACTAGAACAGTCTACCCCAGTGAGCGAAATAAAGGGTTCACTTCAGTTCGACATTCCAACCACCTGAAGAAGGCCGGAGCATACAACGGCCGAAACGTTGTAATAAATATGGCGACAAAGATGAGGACAATAGTCCGAATAATGTAAATAATGTACATAATGCCTCATCTCAGAAATATAGACAGATATTAAAAAAGAGAACCTACCATGATAAAAAGGACCTACAAAGTTTTATCGTCAAAATGTTTGTTATTATTAAGAGGAAAACCAAAGTATTTTTTTTTATTATTTTAAATTTTTAATCCTTCTTGGCATATTTGAAATTTTGGTTAAAAATCTTGCTTTTCTTGCGTCAGCAAGTGGTTCAAAGATTAGGAAATTTTAGTATCTTTTTTGTGGTAAAAACATAGATTTGGAAATTTTTGCAAAATTCTGTTGTTGGATTTTAAAGCATTAATTAAATTTTCAGGACTTATTTACATTTTTTTTTTTTACTTTATGAAATTTTGAGAAATTAAAATTCTACCATTTTTATATATATAAAAGCAGGACTTATCAGAGAATTTTTAAATCATCAATTTGTTTTTGTTAAATCATTTACCGAAAATCTGCTCTAAATACTAAAATAAAAAATGTCACAAAACTATGACATTGTTTGATTAGAAAAGTTTTAAATTACCTTTATAAATGAGATATATTAAGGACAATATTGTCTTAAGAAAAACTTTTTTTCGATGAATAATGAATTTTTCAAGAACTGTTTTTATTTTTTTTAAATTTTAATTAGAATAATTTAAATTTTAAATCTTTTAAAATAGAATGTTAATTTCACCCCTTTTAGATGTTATTAAATGAAAACTATATTTACTAATCATAAATGCAAAAGCTTAGTACAAATCATCAAACACTAATATTTTTAAAATAATTTTGAATTTTTATATATGTGTATATATGTGCAGATTTTTGTAGATACGGGTGTCCATACATGACATTATCAGAAAATAAAAGATAACTGCAATAACTTTTAAAGCCAGAAAATATATAAGATTAAAAAAAAAACAAAAAACATTAGCTCACTGAGAATATTTACTTAAATTTTAAAGATTTCTGAGTATTTAAAAATTATATATAAAAGGTGCTCACATTATATTCATTTATTTTTTTATGGCTAAAATCTCTTTAGAACAACATTAGATAAACAATGTCATCAAGCTGTCAAATATGTCAACAGTTTAAATAAACATATACTGATGTGTTAAAAAGATGCATTTCTGTGATATTTTAAACTTAAATAATATTTATTTTAAATCAAATTAATTTTACTTTAAATCAGCTAATATTCCTCAAATAAAGTTTCAGAAAAGTATATTTTATTTTTGGAAGAAATGTAACATTATTTGGGTTCAGTCAGTTATGTGCCATGCATGATATATGCTTAGGTACATGACTGACGAGGCAGATTTTTTCCAGCAGTAGGTTGCCATTTCTTTCTGCGATAGACCAGTTGCCATCCAAGGCCATAGAACCTGGTCTGTCCTGGTATTTTCCCATAGCTGAAGAGAGAAGAGGATTCATACCTTTCACAAGGGTATTAGCACATAAGTGAATGTCATGAATTGAGTGGAATTTGAACTCAGCTCCGGTAAGGGCTTTGAATATCAAACAAAAACAAGATATTGATAAATAAATTACCATGAAAAGGGTTAAATAGATATCAAGAATCATAGACTGATAACAATTTGTTCCCAGAAAATTTAAAATTTCTAAAACGAACCAAGTGGCCAGCTAAGAACAATACTTAATTTGACGGGTGAAGTGTTGTCAATTGATAGATAACGCTGCCATGAGCGTGTTGTGGAATCTACATGAGGAGAATTGATAAAATTTAAATGTCATTTAGAGGTAAAAGGTAGAGGTTTTAAATGCCAATTACAGGTTATTTAAGGAATGTTTCTAAAGTTTAACCAAATGACATGAGAGCCAGGTGTCCAGTATCTGATTTTGGATGGGAAGGAAATAAAATCTTTCTGCAGAGATGTCAGGACTGAAAACAATAACGACCTGACTTAATTTTTCAATAAAAACACATGGCGATATCTTGACATTTGGGCCCAATGAGTGTCACCATAATGTAAGTTGCAAGATTTTCCCTGGGAAAGTGTCTCTGTGGTTGAGGGTGAGAAGGCCAATTGTTTATTCAACTTTCAGACCAGGAAAAAGAAATCAACATGGGTGTCAATTCACTTATGAGGTGATAGCATTTTGAACAATAATTTTTTTTTCTTTAAAATTAGTCTTCACTGAATGGTGGAGGTGAAAGGTGCAGAAGAGTGATCAAGGAAGGAGAAGGAACTACCTGTACCTGCTGAAGGGTAGCAGGCACAGACAAGACACCAAGGAGGGTGAAGGAGCTGCCCATACCCACTGAGGAGCATTAGTGAGAGATGCTAAGAAGAGGAAGTAGCTGTGGGCGGAATAATGCCTACAGCCGTTACCTGAGAAAAGCGTGTTGGGGAGGGGGCGAGAGTTCCAAATTGAGAAATAATTAATTTCTCAGGACCAAAAAGCAATGAAGATGTCAGGTAGAAGAAATATTAATTCCCCAATTGCATCATGCCCACCCTGCACCAGTTTTTGGCAGACATCGATAAATACGAATGTGCGAAATGAATTCAGAGAAACAGAAGAGAGACGAGTGAGAGATCACCCTGAGACGTTCTAGTTGCTGAGCACAAGACAATTCACATGACTGTCTACTGAAGCAAACCTCCGACATCAACCTTGAGTTTAAACAAAATTTGCTAAGTCTGCAAGCCAAACCTTACCAGCTTAACCAAATGTTGCATCTGATTTAGGAACGGTTTGGATATGCTAACACCTAGACCCTAACAACTATCAACAAACCATTGTATGCAGTACTTGATATAAAAATAGTAAATATTTTTTTTATATAATTTTGATTGTTGTTTTTCTCCTATTGTACTGTACTCCTTAAAGGGTATAAAGTTACAATTTGGTTCCCATGGACCATAAAATCTGAATCTGAAGGTGTTACAAATTCTTTTAATAAAAAAAAAAATTACCTTGCAATGAAAGACAACTAAAAAAAGGTACTTATCTATTTTAGCAAAAACAAGTAAAAAAAAAAAAAAAACTCCTTCCACTCAATTTAAATTAATTTGAAATGCAGCAAAGTATTTTGCATCTGTCTATATTCTGAGATGAGGTATTATGTATTTTATTTACATTATTCAGACGATTGTCCTCATCTTTTTGCCATATTTATCAAACGTTTCAGAAATTATGTCCGCCTTCTTCAGGTGGTTGAAATGTTGAACTGAATCCTTTAACTAGAACAGTCTACCCCAGTGAGTGAAATAAAGTGTTCAGTTTGACATTCCAACAGCTGAAAAAAGGTTAGAGCATATGTGGTAAGGAAACGTTGTGATAAATCATAAAGATGAGGACAATAGTCCAAATAATGTAAAAGTATTTTTGCTTATTGAAATGTTAAATTTAATCTATTAGCTTGAAAGTAAAACTAAAATAAAAGTTCAAGAAAGATTTTTCATTTTTAAGAATCAATTTTAAACTGTGGGTATCATGTTTTCTGTGGTGGTATTCTAAGCAAATTTTACAAATATTTTGCAGTAATGAGTAATAAAATAAAGCATTCTTTTATGTGAATGAACTTAGTTTTGCCAAAAATTTAAAATTTTTTTGCTGGCCAAGGGAACAAATTAGGTAAGAATTTATTTGTTTAAAACTAAATTTTCTTTAACCTCATATATAACCAGTAGTTTAAAAATATAATGCTTTTATTAAACTTAGTATATTGAATAATTTTATTTTTATACTTACTGAATGGAATATAGGAAATTAGATTAATATCCTCTTACTCTTTTGACATTGAATAGTAGTCAACACGAGATATCAGAATTATTTCCTTTTTGTACATCCATACCAAAAATAATCTAACAGTTGCTAAAAGGAAAAAATAGAATAAAATTCTTTTAAAAATGGTTCACGCTCAAAAATGACATTGAACTTCATTTTTTAAATCTCCAAACATGTCTTTATTTAATAAAATAAAATCTTGTGATGAACAGCAATGGGATTAATTTCAAAATTGCACTGAAAAATTACAAGTTTTAAAAAAATATTAAGTTTCTTTTTTTTTTTTTTCTGTCGAAAAAGAAAATAACGTGTTTTCTTATGCAGGAACCAATTCTCAAAATGTTATTTTTGAGTTTCACTGAATTTCTTTTTTTTTTTTTTCTGTAAGATGTGGGTTGAATTTTCTGTATGTTCACACTTGATATTGCATAATTTTTTATAGAAATATCTTCAGGAATTTCTTGTTATATAGTTTAAAAATTTGGACAAACACATCCCAAATTAAATAGTATACACACAATATCGAAAAGGAGGCATCAAATATAGTTTAAAAAAAGGTTTTTTAATAAAATTACTTTTTTCACTACAATATTAAATCATTAATGAATGAGTCCTGAAAATTTAATTTGAATCAGATAATTCCCTGAACCAATTTTAAATTGATTGGAATTTTTTTTTTAAATCACTAAAATTGGACATATTGACAAATTTGTCAACACAACATAATTCTCTTTATAAAAAAATCTTTAAAAAATAAAATATATTTTTTTGAAACTTTATTTGAGGAAGATTAACTGATTTAAAGTTTAATTAGCCTGAATTAAAACAAACATTACTTTTAGTTTAAGATATTGCAGAAAAACATTTTTTAATATAGAGATGGGTGTTTTTATGAGGTGTTGATAGGTTTATCAAGAGTTTAATGTTTGGCATTTTTAAGTAAAGACCACATTACTGTAAAAATTACTTGAGGAATATGTGAACATTAACTATCCAGTAATCGTAAAAATTTAGGAAAATATTCAAAGTAATGTAATATTTTATTGAATTTTAGGTACTTTAGTTTTATAATTTTATTTACAAATATGCTTGTGGAGGAAATTTTAGAAAATTACCAATAAATTTTATAGTTACTGCTTGTATTTTCTGATAATGTTGTGTATGGACATCTGTATTTACATTTTACATTTATGATTAATAAATATAGGTTTTACATAGTAAAAATATCATTTGACTGCTAAAAATTAATATTGAACTTTAGGATTAAAAATTTTATAAATTATTCTAATTAAAATTTAAAAATGAAAACAATTCTTGTAAAAAATTTTTTTCTTAAGTGAAATATATCATATTCATAAAAGCAATTAAAAGCTTTTGTAATTAAATAATGTCTTAGTTTATTGCATTTTTTATTTCACAATTCAGAGCTGATTTTATGTAACTGGGGGTCCTGTTTGACAAGAAAGATTTGATTTAAATTCTCTGTAGACTAGAGATACGTGGTTTAACCGAAAAACCGACTATTTTCAGTTTTATCTTCAAACTGTGAAACTGCATCAAAATTTTTTACGAAACTGAAATCATTCGGTTTAGTGTTATCGCTACTGAGTGACCATATCTAAAGAAACACTATTGAAAATGACTTTCAGATGTTAATAAAATTAATTTTTATCAACATTTATACCAAAATTACAAAAGAAATGAAGAAGAATAAAAAGAAAGTATAACAGATATGACACTTGGAAATCATAGAATGTTTTCAAACTGAAAAAAAGGGAAATACGACATGATGTTTGAAATCTATTTGTTTCAGTTAAAAAAAAAAAAAAAAAAAAATTTTTGTGGTAAAATTAAGTTAACAACAAGTAAAAATAAAAAAAATACTTGCCAGTTTCATCTTAATGTTAAATTTTATGAAGTAGGATTTTTTGTAAGGCTTTTCTAGTAAGCTAGTATGCCAATCACAAAATATAGTTGTTGTAAACAAGAAAAATGAATCAAGATTTTTTTTTTATATATATAAATTTGTTTTTATCTAGGGAACACACCTAAATTAGATATTAAGAATAATTAAGTAATTCTTAATTTCACTTTTAAAATGTGTATATTTCCAGATGTGCGAGTCCCTAGTGTAAAATAATTTGTTTCCTACAATTAAAATTATGTTTCTATCTAGAAAATACACCAAAAATTAGATATTAAAAAAATAAAGTAAGTTTTAATCTCAGCTTTAAAATGTGTATATTTTCAAAAGTAAAAAAAGTAGTAAAAAAAATAATTCTTTTTTAACCACTAGTGTTTGGTGGGTGTTCTGCTTATAAAATTCTTCTAAACAATGGTTTTATCTAGCAAATATACTTAAGATTATATATTAAAATGATTAAAATAGTTTTTAATTTCAGTTTTAAAATGTGTATCTAAAAAAGAACAGGTGATACTCACAGATTTCGAAATATACACATTCTAAAAATGAAATTAAAAGCTTTTAATTATTTTTAATATTTAATTTTAAGTGTATTTGCTAGATGAAAACAAATTATTTAGGGGAAAAAAAATAACTCATTGATTTTCCCTGTTTAGAAAAAAGGTTTTTTGCAAAACCCCAATAACAGTTGACTGGTGTAACAGAAAAGAATTATCATATTTTTAAAAACTTGATGGTTTTCATTTTTTAGCTTTTTAAAATCCACATCATAAACTAATTTCTGGAGAGAAATACTATTTTCTCTCTCAAATGTGTTGTCCCATGGCTGGGGTTAATTTGATTTAACTCCTAATTTATCATTTTCCAAATCTGGTTTGTTAAAAACCTCATTCAGGTTCTCATGCTTGTTGATTGAGAAATCTTAAATGGATATACGGGGAGTATAAAGGATAGCAAGCCAGAATGAAAGCCGCATTTGTATTCCAGTTAAATTCATTACATTCACATAAGTGGAAATAACCCTTGGAAAAGGTGCGAATCTTTTTCTCTTCCAGCTATGGGTCTATGGCATTCAGGCTAGAAAAAAGACCACTCTGAATTCAAAACTGTATGTGTCTCTGATGCTGCAGTAGAAAAACTTTGAACAAGATCTGCTGTGTTAGCACCTGTTAGGGTCCCAGCTATGAGCAAAGAGTAAACCCTGAAACAGAAAATATAAAAATACATTAGAAAAAATTACCAGCAATACATTTTTGGAAAAAAAAATTCCAATGCTCAGAAAATAAAATTCCAACATTAAATGACCCATAAATAATTGATATGCCATTAACCAAACCATTAAACAAGATCTCTATTAGGTTTTGACCAAAGTGCTTCATCAAAGACAATTCACTGAACAAAATTTATGCAAGGATCCATGTAATTGATTATACAACTATTGCATTGCTACATTTAGGATGGGTTCATACTGTATGTGCTATTGTCCAGATTTCATTGACCAATTAACATTATCTAGTCAAATTTATAATTTTCTCACCATCCATTTTCATGAATTAATTGCCAATCCAACAGATGTTAAAAAAATGAATGATTTACAGTGACCTATCATCCCAATAATTCAGACAAAAGCATCTGACAGATAATCCTAAAATGCCAGTGGAAATACAGGTGTAGGTAGGCAGGCATTTGTTTATCTTGGCAAGATAATGGTAGTGTTCTTGTCAAAATACAGCCCTTTTGTGAGCAATATCTTGAGTGATTTAGCAGTCCAATCTTAGTGTGCTAGACTCTTCTGCAGGTATGGCAGATGAAACTTAAATATAGAACAAATGTCAGAGATTGCCTTCTCTGACACTTGCATTGTTTTGGTAGAATTTGGATGTCAGATGTGTTGTAAAAATTAGTTGGAAGCACACGCAGGAAAAGAAAGGTAGTAAGAGTCCAATAGGTTCACTAGGCAAAACAAATCCACACTTCTTGCCTCAATCTCCAATACACCACTCACCATCCCAAAGCGACTAGCTGAATGAGTGTACCATGTTTTTTTATACACCTGACTCAGCCAATGAGTACCCAGAACCAGCCAATAAAAATGGCTACAAGTGGCACCACCACCTCCACCAGCACAAAGTGCTGTCTGATTCACTGTTCATATGAAGCTCACTGATTTGCTGTCTCCACACTCCCTTGCGAAACATACATGCGACTCTGGCCTTTTTGGGTCGCCGAGTCAACGCTACAAGATGGTCCTCTGTTGACCATGATTTGGGCCAATAACCTAGACATTTGTGTTGCCAGGGAACCAGAAGAGACATTTAAACTGTATTTTCATACTTTTCTTTCTTTAAAGGTTATGTCATTTGACAGATACTTGTGGAATGCTAGAGGATTTTACAGGCATAAATGTAATATAAACACTAAGCAAAAGAAACTGACTCAAAGGAATCGCTATCTAATACAGGAAGTGTGTTTTGGCTTTTATTTTATTTTTTGTTATAATATTGTTTGTCCAATCCAAGAGCCACTCAGAGTGGAACTTAATCCTTACCAAAGGAAAATGAAGGGAATGAAGTTGATTTGATGCCATTTATGTGGCATGACTGGTCTTAGCTGTTTATAAATTATCTATCAATTGATTCAATCTAAAAAACAAGTATAAATTTTCTTGACTGCTTGAAGTGAGAGTTTTTTGTTTCTTGACTGCTTGAAGTAATTTTTTTTTTTTTTTTTTTTAGTGAGACCATTTTTTTTTCCTAAAAAACCAAGATGAAGGGACTGGAAACAACAACTGAGAATATAATTCAACAATTAGAAAATGCTATATCCTCAGGTGATGTAAAAAATGCGCAAGCACTTGTGGCTATATTAGCCAAGCAGAAACAATTGATGAAGATTGATTTAATACCCAGAATCACAGCTGATAGTGGATACTTGTGAGTATGTTAACTATGTGTTTATTTATCTTACCTTTGTTTTGATTCAATCTGTACAACAGTTTGCCATTATCTGTAATTGGGGCTATGGAATACGACGCAGTCCTAACTGTTGCCTGACAATGTTGAGTTGATATTCATCTTGTTTTTTAAACAGTAACATTAATTTCAAAACAACCTAGAAATAGAGTAACCCTTACTAACAAAAAATATGCCTTACAACAGGAATTGAACTGATTCCTTTTTCCTTCAGTGAAACCACTTCTTTATCCAAAGTGTGCTCTACCAATTAGGCCATGGGAAACCATGATAAGGCAAAGCTTGCTTTCCTACTTAAGAAATGCACATCTCTCGCTAGAGCCTTCCAGAGTTTATGGTTTTCTTTGGCCTAATTGTTAAGGCACACTTTGTTTTATTTATTTATTTTTTTTTTTGTCTTATTGTATTTACTATCACCTATTTGTTATGCTTTTTTTTCCTTGCTGTCCTTTGACCTCCAGCCTGGGTAAACACTTTACAAAATGGTGTATACCCTTGTCTTTGCTTACCAAGATTAGATACTATTGGTACTAAGGGATGCTTAAACTATGCCTTTTCGCCGCTGCTGCTCAATATCAAGTCACTTTCTTTTTAAAGAATCTAATTATTTTCACTATTATTGTCACTGGTATTCCACTTTTCTGAGAGTACAAATAGCTAAAAGACTCATCTTTGTTCGTTCCTCTTAAGAAATATCAAAGAAATGACCCTGTAATTATTAGTTAATAGTCTTAGAGTTATCTCCCTTGCACATATTTCTTACTTACCAGTTTTTACTTGCGTAAATTCTTGGAAACTGATGACCCAGTTGGAATGAAAAATTCTTTATTCTCCAAGTTAGGGCATTTTAACAGTATTGTGCTAGCAAAAATTGCTAGACTAGACAATTATAAAGAAATTGTATCAATATAATATTTAATATTATTTTTGTTAAGGCAAGAAAATTAATAAACACATAGGTTAGATTTTACAAGTAAGCACCAGTCACCATTTGTAGTTGGGCTTAACTTGGTGACTAATCGGTTGGAACAGCCATTGCACTCACCAATTCTTATTCTTCTCTGCTAAAACCTCAAAAGGCACTATTGTTACTTGTCTAACCCAAATATGTAAGTTTGTCTTTTTCTGTTAAAAAAAAAATTGAAGAATTACAGTTTAAAAATATGTTCTAAATGGACCTGCCAGGGTGAGAAATAGTGGCCAGAAGGTCAGAAGGTCAGACATGACGAATGATCACTATAGATGAACATTAGAATTTGAATTTAAGGGGGAAGATACTGAAACAGTTTTAGGAAAGAGCATCAGGTGGAAAAAAGGTTTAAGTTAATGAAAATTAAGTCAAACACATTGAAGAAGATAAAGCTGACACTTATAAAACTGGACAGTTTTATAGACCAGCAAAAACTTATTCTATTTTCTACTGAATGGTTTTTTAAAATATATTTTTATTTTTATACCGAAAATGGTATTTAAAGCCATTTTCTTATATGGAGACATTCGGCACCCATTGACCTAACAACCAGTGCTGCTGTTGGTTGAAATTTATAAAATCTTTCTTTTAGAAAAAAATTTCAGGAAAAGAGGTTTCTTAATTGCACTGTTATCACCTTTTCCAGTTTTGCTGGGCGTTTACTTCTTAGCCTTTTGTTTGAAGAAGTGTGGAACATCAACATCTGGATTATGTCATTATTTTCTCCTTGATTTACATGTAATATCTGTTTTAATTGTTGTTGGTGTTAAAAGTCCTAAAATGATCCAGTACTTTGTACAGTTCTTTGTTTGTGATTCTATAGCCCCAGTCCACAAGGTTTTGAAGAAGGATGGTCCTTTCTAAGACCTACAGGGTTCATTTGTTCAGAGCCATATATTCATATATTCATGCACATTTTCAGTATATTTTGTCTGTGCATGACATAAAAAAACAACAATGTATCCAGTAGTCAGTCAGTCTGTGTGATAATGAGTAGCAGCCAGATGTAACAGTCCAAGGAGAAGTCATTAACAACTTTCCTATAACATGAAAACTGCTTTTGTAAGAAGAAACTAGATTAAGAAAAAGAAAGGTAAAACAATTTTTGTAAATCACCAATTTTTTCTTCTTTTCCTTTCTTTTTATCCTTTCTTTGTTGATGAGATTACTATTTTACAAGGCTAAACTTTCACCCACTCAATCTTCCACAAATGGCAACCAATGAATGGAATTTGAACATGCAACACACAACTACAAGGTAAAGTAACTCCTTCACAAAATAACATCTCCAATTCTGAATTAAACATAAACAACAACAGACATGAAGTAGAGTGATTATGTTGAATCAATTTCTAGGTCTACTGCTAGGAATGTTGCTTCACTGTGTTAAACCAGACAATTTATCTAGTTTAGAATCCATCTCGCACATTTATAAGTTTACTATTTATTGCTGCCATCTTTGGTCTGGTGCTCCTATGATGTATCTTGAGATTGTTGACAAAATCCAAAGAAGTGTCTGTAATTTTATCAGTCCTGACCAAACATCTTGACTTCAGTCACTTTCCCACTGTTGTAATGTGACTTCCCTCTGTCTTTTCTAAAAATATTTTTGTGACAATTGTACTAAGTTTTCTTTTTGCTGCATCATCTGCTTGAATTTAAGCTTTTACTGATAGATTGACAACTGGGTCTCATCATTTGACTGAACTAGTTAAAATGCAACCATAAGTTCTATACTAATAGTTTCTTTTCTTGCACTTCTTACCCGTGGAACTCTCATCTGGTTTCTTGCTTTCCTTTCACCTACAATCTTCGAAAATTTAAATGTCAGTTGCCATCTTGTCTTCCTTACACCTGTTCTTTTATTGTCCTTTCTCTTCACTAAAGTTTTCTCATTCACTTTCATTTCTAGTAACCTCTTGCATCTTAGTGGCATTATAACCTTATTTGGGGTGAAATGATTAAAAATAAATTTGTTAACCCAACAAAATAATATTCAAGTAACTTTGTGGAGACCATTGTAAATGGTTGGGTCTTCATCAGGAAGGTAGAATTCTATTTGCGAAACATCAAAATGTCCTCTAGTTCTTTGCAATTGTAGTGTCATTACTTGTTGATGTGGCAGTGAATATCCTGTTAGAAAAAACGCTATGAAAGATTATTCTTCAAGATCATTTGAAGAACATTAGAAAATAAATGAATATATGTAACAATCAGTTATATTGCATATAACTGACACTTTTTGACCCTGTCTTATTTATCCTGACCTTTTAATATACTTCATTTTTATTGGATCATTCTGAGCTACCATTAGAAAGGATTGAAGATAGAATTATGAAGAACTTAAGGCTATGATATTAGCTTTATGTCAAAAAAACAAAACCAGAATTGCTAAATATATTCATGATGACTTTGGCAATAACAGGAAGACCCTCCATATATTCACAAGAAATGTAAATCATAGTGGAGTGAATTTGAGTCAATTTGGATATAATTATGCATAAATTTATACAAGATTTACCCACAACCTGCCCATTTTTCCTGAGATTATGAAAGATCAAGTTGATCTCAGATAGAGAATAAGAAATTGGTAGACATTAGGTAGAAAATTTTCATTTCAGATGATTTTATATTATCACACATAGTTTATTACAAAAAACATGTTTGTGGAATTGGTATATTTGAAAATTTTGATTCTTATAATTACTAGTTCAGTCTCTGATATTCTTCAAGATAATACTGATAGGTTCATTGGCAGGTTTGACTTTCAGGGCATCAAAGGGACATGCAAATACATTGGGTAAATGAATTTGCTAAGGACATTTAACATAGAACTACCTTCCTTGCAATGCTTTCATATAAATGATCTACATTTTGAATTGACTTTCTACTCCTTAGTTTACAAATTGGAGACACCAAAATCCGAGAAAATAGTACTTAGCTGCTATGTAATAATATCAACCCTACCATATGGCAGTGAATGCTGGACAATCTCATCGCAGATGAAGAAGAAACTTGAAGCAACAGAAATGAGATTCTACAGAAGGATGCTGAAAATATTATGGGCTGAACATGTAAATATTGAAGTTTTAGAGAAAATGGAAACAAAAAGAACATTTATATTTAATCTCAGAAAGAAGCAGTTGAAATTTCTAGGGTGTATAATGAAGAAAGAGAACTTTTTTGACATCATTTTGCTTTTAATGAAGGTCACAAACCTGCACAAGATATTTGTACTGTGTGCAGAGATGACATCATTACTGACAAAATGACAAAGAAATGGTTCTCTCATTTCAAGGAGATGTTCAAATTCACAGACTCTCAGAGCAAACAAAAGATGTTGAACATGTTCATTCTTGTCTACTTGGCATTCCATTTCAAAGAGATGTCTAATCTGAGATAAGATCTTAATAAAATTGGATACCAGTTTCACTAGATGACCAGAGTTACGAAGAAGAAAAAACGCTATGAAAGATTATTCTTCAAGATCATTTGAAGAACATCAGAAAATAAATGGATATATGTAACAATCAGTTATATTGCATATAACTGACACTTTTTGACCCTGTCTTATTTATCCTGACCTTTTTAGCTACCATTAGAAAGGATTGAATTTTCTCTCTCTGCATGTTCTCCTTCCAACTCCTCTGCAGTTCTTTTTGTGCTTGTTTCTTGAAATGTTTGGGGACAATTGCTTTTCTTATTTTTTTCCTTTTTTTTTTTTTTTTTTTTTTGTCTTTTATCAAAATTACTGATTTTGTTATTTATGTATATATCATTTTTTTTTGTCTTGTAGCATTAAAGTCATTGTGGAAGATCGTTTGTCTTCTGCACCTCCATTTCTCATAAAAATTAATTCACAGTCAACTGCTGGAGAACTAAAGAAACTGGTAAGTCTTTTTGAGATGTTGAAATGCAAATGTTTCTGTTAAGAATTTTATTCAATGTTTTTCATGCAATGAGTTTATAATTTATATATAGTGTATTTATTTATTTATATATAGTGTATTATTTTCTATAAAAGTATGAGTTTCACACACAATTCCCGCTTGTCTATATTTTGGAAACAAGGGAGAAATGGCAAAGAAGTTTTATTTAAAATTACATAAGAAATGTACTTCAGTTGATATGTTAGGCATATGAATGGTCAATCAATTGGATGTGACAGTGATGGTTGTAGTGTAAGAAGAAAATCAACTTTGAATTAAGAGATGAATGCATAAAAACACATTACACATAGAAGGCAAAGAAGGGCAACTGTGTGTGTGTGTGTGTGTGTGTGTGTAGAGCATGATGGGCAAATGGTGTGTAGAACAAGAAAAATTGAAAATCAACTTTGTATTTCCATTCTCCTGCTTAGAAATTCTGTTTGCTTTCTTGTTAAAGGAACTGACATGGTTATTATGTATACAAAAGGAAATAATTTAGCAAAATAATTTGTCAAAACTGATATATAAATACAATTGAAGTTCTATGCTAGTAGTTTCTTCTCAATGCAATTCTTGCTTGTGGATCTCTCTTCTGGCTTTTTAATCAATTTTGATATTCAGTTATTATCTTCTATCTCCTTGAATTATGTTCTTTTATTGTCCTTTCTCCTTTATAAAGTTTTTGTCTCAGATTCTTTCACACCCAGTAACCCTTTGCTTCTTAGTGACTTTATTGCCTTGCTTGGGGTGAAAAGAGTTAAAAAAATATCCCCAACATTTTATGTTAGTTATGTTTGGTTTTAAACAAAATTATTTTTGTATATCCTATTATTGTATTTTATTTGTTTTTTAATCTTACCCGCTTGAAATGTTTCATTATGTCCTAACTTATCTAACTATTCAAAAGACTCATCATGTTACACTTGTGATTTCTCCCACCCCCACCTAAAGAGCTCATCATTTCTGATTTCTTTCAACTTTGTATATTGAAAATAACAATTTTTTTAATGCAAAGTCCCTTTAGAATGTAGGCAAGCACCATTGAGCCTGTGTCAGTATTTAGATGTGGGGACCATTTGGTAACATATGGTACTGTAAGCAATGGTAGAGATGTAATCATGATATGATTCCGGTTAACAACCTTGCTTGTGTCTTACCAGTGTTTACTCAAATTGTATGCAGCCATTAATTATATTGACTAGTTATTGTCTTTGGATCAAGACTGTCTGGTGCTTAGAGTCCACATAAAGTGGAGCAAACTGAAAGACAAAAAAACAATTGCACAGGTACCGTTGGGCTTTTGGAGGTTGGTGTGAGCAAACAACCTCATCTGCTGTGGCCTGTATTATTTGTCTAATATATGTAATAACTGATTGGCTCCTCTTGTTTTCTGAGCACGCCTGTCTGCTAGGGTGGTGAGCCAATTCCTGTTGCAGACTCCTGCTCAGGCACATTGTTCAGCACCCACGGAGCCCATCAGTGGTTTATACCGCAACTATACTGAGCAAGCACTAGTTATAATTTCTGGGAGAGAATGCCTAATCTGTCATAATCAGCAGTTTGAACAATACCAATAATGCTCAAACCCTCAGTCACGATGATTTGTGAACTTGTGCTGTCACAACTATCAGCTTCTGAATAGTTCCATGTACCCAATTTCACTCACAAGGCTTCAGTCAACCCTTGGTATGACTTCTGGGCACTTTTCAAAGGTTCTGTATACTGGCATCACTTTTCCAAACCGATAACATTGAGAAGTCACCTTATTGACAAAACCAACCATAGTGAGATTCAAACGTGGGTATCATGGTCAGAAAGCAGACATTCTAACCACTCAATCATGCACCATCTCTCTCTCCCTGTCATATATATATATATATATATATATATATATATATATGTCCATCCAATTATAAAGAGAACAAAATGAATATAAATTCAAACGCTGATAACATTAATTTAAAAGAGAGCTTGATACAAAAGTAGAGCAATAATTATTTATCTGTCTATATTTCTGAGATGAGGTATTATGTACACTATTTACATTTTCAGACTATTGTCCTCTTCTTTGTTGCCATATTTATCACAACATTTCTTCAAGTGGTTGGAATATTGAACTCAACCCTTTATTTCGCTCGCTGGGGTAGGCTGTTCTAGTTCCATGTGGATGTCAGTTATCTCCTGTTAATTCCCCACTCCATGTTCTCCACCTCCTTAACTAGGTATTGAGCTCACATTCCTTGGGTACTGTCATTGGATCTAACTAATGCCTTTATCCGCTGTGCCATGTGTCCTTGAGGACATCTGTGTGCGAATTTCTGGGAATTATAAACCTAATGTCTTCAGCAACCATTTTTTACGAGTGCTCATATCACAATTTTTGCTGTTATAATTGCAAATTATATTGATGTTAGAAAATGATGTTATAATTGAGTTCAATACTTGGTTAAGGTGGTTGAGAGAAGAGTTAACAGGAGATAAATGATAACTGACATCCATTAGACATGGCATGTGGAACTAGAACAGTCTACCCCAGCAAGTGTAATAAAGAGCTCAGTTCAACATTCCATCCACCCGAAGAAGGCCGGAGTGTACAACGGCCGAAACGTTATGATAAATATAGCAACAAAGATGAGGACAATAGTTTTGTAGTGAACGAGATAATCAAGTACCCCGGAAAAAAGTTATTGTTTTTGTGCGATCTGCCGGGAGGGATTGCCAAAAAAAAAGTCAGCAAAACTCTTATAGCGATTTCACCTATCAACCAAGCTTAAAAAGAAACAAGTTCGTCGCAGGAGTCGCTATAAGAGTGTATTAATATGCAAATTACGGAGCATCCTATCCCGGAAAAAAATTTAATGGAAAAATAGGTTCTGCCGATAAAAGCAGTTGGTGTTGTCGGCAGTTTCGGGAGGAAAAATTCTGGGCAAAAAAATTATGTGGGTTCGTGAGTTATTTTCCTGACGTGTTACAAGTGATTCTCTTTCTTTGTGTTGTGAAAGCCACAAATTTAACTTTGAGAACGCTTACACTTCAAGCTATTTCGGCATTTACTTTGTCTCTCGCAAGATGGCGGAAAGACCGTTCGATATAAAACTGATCCCCGAATTCAGTGGTGATACTAGTGGACAGTCTGTGGTTGAATGGATCGAAAAGGTGGAACTGGTCTGCGAATTATGCGAGATATCAAAGATTGATCGGATTCTTCCTCTGCGATTGAATGGCGGTGCCCTTGCTGCGTATAGGCAGCTGAGTAAAGAACAGAAAAGCGACATTGAGCAAATAAAGCACGCTCTACTAACCGCGTTTGAACTGACCGGTTCGTGGCCTCACGACCAATTCCAGGCACGGCGTCTGCGACCTGGGAGACAGTAGACGATATTTGGCAGAATTAAAGAAGCTGCCGTTCCAATCGCACCGCTTCCTGAAGAATGGATGACATGTGCCTTCGTTTCTGGATTGCCCAGTCATGTTAAGCAGATACTCCGCGCATCATCCAGAATGGAAGACCTGACGCTCAATCAATTGTTGACCAGAGCCCGTGCTGTCATGATCGATTCAAAAAAAGAGGCTGATGAACCAGTGGCCGCGGTTATTCAACCAATTGAAGTCAAAGAAGGTCCGACCCAGCCATTCGTCACCATGGCGTTGCCACCTGCTATCGGGTGCTCTGGGGCGAATCATTTTGCCAGAGACTGCCGCTATCAACGCCAAGAAATGCAAAGAGGTCGGGCGCGAAGGCACGTCTCGATCTACGATGCTTTCAATGTCAGAAAGTAGGTCATATTGCCTCTAAGTGCCCGGAAATGGAATGGGGGACGCGACGTCAGCGCCGGTCTCTTCCCGCACCCGAGCATGAAAGTGGCGCCCCTGTGATTAAGGTACGCATCAATGGAATAACGCACCGCTTTAAATAGATTCTGGCTGCTCTCGGTCACTCACCAACGGTTCGACGGCCGACAGTGGAGCAGACAAAAGATGGACGTACTAACGGCTGATGGAAAGGCTCTCAGAAGCCGGGAGTTGGAAACATCAAACTTAGTATTAATAACGGTGACCCTGTCACAGTCAGTGTGTTGGTCGTGGACAGCGCGTTATTAGGTTTCGATCTGCTCCTTGGGATGGACATTATTAAGGAGCTGGGCGGCGACGATTACAGAGGCAGGCGAAGTCAAGTTTTCTGATCCGCCCATCTGTGCTACTTTGAAGATCAACGAGCCCGACTTTTAGTGCAGAGTTCGACCAAAGGACGAAGACATGGACAGCATTTTGGAAATGGTCGGAAAATAACCCACCAGAAAAGCTCCAGAACCGAGTGTCAGAATATTCGGTGCCCGAACGCGTCAAGGAAGAATACCAGCGCGAATTGCAGGTGTGGCTGGATAACGGATGGCTGACTCCGTATCCCGAGGAAGAGCTTGGTCCTCCAAGAGGCCTCATCCCATTGATGGCCGTGGTACAAAAGAACAAGGGAAAGGTGCGCCCTGTACTAGATTATAGAGAACTGAACGAACATGTAGACACATACACAGCTCATGCTGATGTGTGTGCACAAAAATTGAGAGAATGGCGAACGAAGGGATCCAATGTCTCTGTGATTGACCTTCGAAAGGCCTACTTGCAGGTACGCGTGCACCGGTCACTGTGGCCATTTCAGACGGTGATTCTTAATGGGACGAGGTACTGCTTAACCCGAATGGGATTCGGACTCAATGTGGCGCCGGCCATCATGAAAGCCATCGTGGATGCTGTGCTATCCCAGGATGAGACAATTCGTCAAGCGACGTCAGCCTACATTGACGACATCTACATCAACGAAACCTTAGTACCCGCTTCACAGGTGAGAAAGCATCTTGCTGACTTTGGGCTCGAATGTAAAAACCCAGAACGACTGGAGGATGGTGCTCGGGTGCTCGGCTTGCAGGTCTGGGGGGAGCACAACATGCTTTACTGGAAACGTG